CGGCTGTATACAGCCGATTTCTATAAAACTGGCTTCTATAAATTCGAACTAATTTCGTAGTGTAGACATACCCCTAGTGAAAAAGATTTTCCTAATATCCAACCTAAACCTTCCCCACTGCAACCAGGGCCGGCTCCAGGCACCAGCGCAGGAAGCAGGTGCTTGCGGGCGGCCAATGGGAAGGGGTGGCACATCTGGGTCTTCGGCGGCAATTCGGCGGCGGGTCCCCTAGTCCCTCTTGGAGGGAAGGACCGGCCGCCGAATTGCTGCTGAAGAATGAAGCGACGCGGTAGAGCTGCTGCCGAAGTGTTGCTGATTGCGGCTTTTTTTTTTTCTTCGCCGTTTGGGGTGGCAAAAAAGCTGGAACCGGTCCTGACTGCAACTTGAGACCATTACTCCTTCTTCTGTCATCTGGTACCACTGAGAACAGTCTAGATCCATTCTCTTTGAAACCCCCTTTCAGGTAGTTGAAAGCAGCTATCAAATCCCCCCTCATTCTTCTTTTCTGCAGACTAAATAATCCCAGTTCCCTCAGCCTCTCCTCATAAGTCATGTGCTCCAGCCCCCTAATCATTTTTGTTGCCCTCCGCTGGACTCTTTCCAATTTTTCCACATCCTTCTTGTAGTGTGGGGCCCAAAACTGGACACAGTACTCCAGATGAGGCCTCATCAATGCCGAATAGAGGGGAATGATCATGTACCTCGATCTGCTGCCAATGCTCCTACTTATACAGCCCAAAATGCTGTTAGCCTTCTTGGCAACAAGGGCACACTGTCGACTCATATCTAGCTTCTCATCCACTGTAACCCCTAGGTCCTTTTCTGCAGAACTGGAGCCTAGCCACTCGGTCTCTAGTCTGTAGCAGTGCATGGGATTCTTCTGTCCTAAGTGCAGGACTCTGCACTTGTCCTTGTTGAACCTCATCACATTTCTTTTGGCCCAATCCTCTAATTTGTCTAGGTCCCTCTGTATCCTATCCCTACCTTCCAGTGTATCTATCACTTCCAGTTTAGTGTCATCTGCAAACTTGCTGAGGGTGCAATCCATGCCATTCTCCTGATCGTTAATGAAGATATTGAACAAAACCAGCCCCAGGACCGACCCTTGGGGTACTACACTTGATACCAGCTGCCAACTAGACACGGAGCCATTGATCACTACCTGTTGAGCCCGGCGATCTAGCCAGCTTTCTATCCACCTTATAGTCCATTCATCCAGCCCATATTTCTTTAATTTGCTGGCAAGAATACTGTGGGAGACTGTATCAAAAACTTTGCTAAAGTCAAGGAATAACACTGGTTTACAATTTTTGAGAAGTCGTCTGCTTCAGAG